GTTAAAATTACATAAAATTAGAATATGCTCTAAGGCTTTGTTATAATTTTGTTTGCTTCTTTTGCAGCTTCTTTGTTTATTCTTCTTGATTTTTTTGGTTATAAAATAAGTAAGTGAAATTACGGAGTAATTAAGGGCACACTGCTGGAGAAACAGAGGAAGTTAATGTTGGATGTATTTCTTTTATTGTATATATGTAAAGAATAAGTATTTTTAATGTTAATAAAATTTAATTTAAAAAGGAAAAGAAGATGTCCTTCCCTCCACTGCTGAAAAAAGTGTATCATCAACATTGGTTTTATGTGAATAGCTCCTCCACACAACTCCGAGGATGGAGCACTGGGCCATTCTTGTATGATGCACTGGAGCAACCCACACTTTCTTAGGAAGTTGGATGCATTCTTTTCCCATTACTTAATGCTTATTTGCTTGTGTCTGTTGCTGCTTTTGTCTATACAGTCATCATTGCTGGTGTTTCTCCCTGTTGTGTTTTGTTCCTGAGTTATCTTTAGGCACTCTGATTGTTACACTTAGCTATAAAGGAAAGTGAAGAAAGGGAGCAAGGAGTCTCCAGCAAAGTATCTTCTAGGTCAGGGGTAGGCAACCTAAGGCCTGGAGGCCAGATGCAGCCCCCCGAGGCCTTTGGACTGGCCCCAGACCGGTCCTGCCACTGCCGCCGCCGCCCACCATGATGATATTGATTATTGTTGTTATTACTTGCTCTTGGGGTTTTCTTGACAAAATCTCCACAGGGGTTTTGCCATGGCTTTTCTGGGGCTGAGAGAGTGTGCATGCATATTTTTTAAATTTTTAATTTTTTTAAAAAAATTATTTATTTATTTATTTATTTTTGGTGCTTCGGCCCCCCAATTGTCTGAGGGACAGCAACCTGGCCCCCGGCTCAAAAAGGTTGCCTACTCCTGTTCTAGGTCATACAACTCCTGCCTTTTCCTGGGCAGAATAACCAATTTTACATCCGTCGGTCCTCAGCACCTTAGGAAAACTGACACAATTAGTGACCAACTTTCTATTTTCTTTCTGTTGATTAACTGAACAAAATTATGGATGATAGATGAAGAATCAACCAAGTCCGATTTAAAGCAGAAGAAAATGAAAGGTGAAACTAAATAAATGACAGAATTGTCCCAGTGTTAACTTCTTGACACTATGCACTTGGTATAGTTAAAGTTCACAACACTATGTACTATTGAAGATGTTTAACAGATGTTTTTGGTGAAACCTTTATCCTGAAATAATGACCTGATTTCACTGTGGGACTGCAATTCTCTTCCACTCCATGTTCAACGGAGACTTTTAGATGATGGGCCAGGTTCTGTTTATTATGCTTTTGGTTTGGATTTGGATTAGCCTCCCTGAGAAATGAGGAACTACTGAGACAATAAGAGTGGAGGATTTTCCATATGAAGAAAGGCATACAAAGTTAGAGCTCTCTAAGGATAATATGACCTCTCTGGGGAAACATAAGCGGAGACATAACAGGGGTATATTAAAGATGAGCAAAGTGGAAAAGTGAAGTCGTAGGCTTTCATGGCCGGCATCCATAGTTTTTTGTGGGTTTTTCGGGCTGTGTGGCCATGTTCTAGAAGAGTTTCTTTATGACATTTCGCGGAAAAGAATTATGGTAGTATTTCCTTCTCACAGAATACTAAAAAGCTGGGATCATCTGGCCAGGGCCTGTTGCACCACAGAAGCACATTAGGTGACTATTGGGCTTCCAGTATTTCTGGATTCTTTTGCAGCTGTGTAAATTTCTGTTTTGGGAAAACAAAAACAAAAAATTGCCTTTGTGCTTTTGGAGGGAATGCACAAAGCCAGCTTTGCCAGCCATATGGGTTACCACTTCTTGTGTCCCATGTAATTTGATCAAGAACCTTGTGATCTCCACCAGAGAATAAACACAACTATAAAGAGGAGGAAATAGTCAAGTAAAATATACTGAAACTGAGAAAATAGGAACCCTGTCATTTCTTGATTATTCAGTTTGCTGTGATTATGCTATTCCTTGTACAGCTAAGACACAAGTTGCATGGGATCAGGATAAAACTCCTTGAGCCAGCCTTGCATCCAATGTCATTGATGGTTACAGGTCAAGAAAAAGGACATCTTACAAAAGTGCATAAAGAATTTGAGCATCATTATGTAAGAAGATCATTG